AAGGACTCCTCAAGAATTATTATATCAATTAATAAAAGTCACTTCATACCTGGTTTGTCCAGAGTCCACTAGCCTACAGTGCCTGTACTGTCTTGCAAAAACTTGTAGTTTTCTTGTTGACAGTCACTTGTGCATTGATAAGAGTATTGAATTTGATGAATTACACATTTTTAGTGAAAGTTGAAAGTCTCTAGCTCTTGTCATTTTTTCTGCAGTCTAACTGGATTCCCTTACAAGCAGTTCCATAAGAAACTACAATAACTAGAAGTCTCTATTTCAAAGTATGTTATATTGTAAAGTATGTGGTGTCTCTTACATGAATAAGCTAAATTTTAGGAATAATTGTAAGAACTGGAGATTTTTTTTTCTGGTATATTATTCAGAAAGCTAATTGGAGTCTCTTACATACACTAGATAAAAATGAAAAAAAAAAAACTCTACAATTTCTGTAGACTTGTATTTCCTGTATGTTTTTCAACCAGCTGAACAGTCTCTTACAAATACCTTTTTAGTTTCCAAAGAAATAATAAGAACAAGAGATTTTTATTTCTAGGGTGTTATTCAGTAAGCTGGATGAAGTTTCCTGTATTTTACAAAGTGATTTCCAAACAAAAGCTTTTACTCTCTCTTTTCTCACTTCCTTCGGTGGCTTCCCTCCCCTCCGGACAGTGACCTGGATTAAGGGCCTTAGAAGTCATTAAGAGAGAGTGGACTGGCCAGGCGCGGTGGCTAACGCCTGTAATCCTAGCACTCTGGGAGGCCAAGGCGGGCGGATTGTTTGAGCTCAGGAGTTCAAGACCAGCCTGAGCAAGAGCCAGACCCCGTCTCTACTAAAAAAAAATAGAAAGAAATTATCTGGACAACTAAAAATATATAGAAAAAATTAGCCGGGCATGGAGGCACATGCCTGTAGTCCCAGCTCCTCGGGAGGCTGAGGCAGGAGGATCGCTTGAGCCCAGGAGTTTGAGGTTGCTGTGAGCTAGGCTGATGCCACAGCACTCACTCTAGCCAGGGCAACAGAGTGAGACTCTGTCTCAATAAAAAAAAAAAAAAAGAGAGTGGACTGCTAGTGGAACACATGCATACCCCAGCAATTCCGCATTGTCCTATCAAAACCACAAAGTGCCATGCAGGCCCCACCACTTATTGGCATTTTCTGTTTTTTCTGAAGGATCTAGGGAACCTTCTCTGGTAAAGGAGTCACAAATCCATAGGAGTTGTATGCCTTTGTAATTGTATGTAATATGCATAATTGTATATTGGGAAACTTCTCTGCCTGCAAATCTGTGAGCTCTAATGCAGGATCTTTCATTCTTCAGGCCCTTTTCTTCTTCCCCAGCTGGGCCTCTTGTGACTCTGTTCTTCTCAGATACATTCAGAAATGACCAAGTCCTCCATGAAGAGCAGTTTTCTTGTCCTTCTGAAATGCCATCAAATGATTGAAGTATTGCTTTTTCCCTTCGTCTGGGCTTTCTATGCCCAAGAAGGCCCTCTCCACATCTTCTCATTTACTTATTGATATAGTTAGGATATTTGTCCACTCCAAATCTCATGTTAAAATTTTATCCCCAATGTTAGAGAAGCGACCTCCTGGGAGGTATTTGGGTCATGGGGGCAGATCCCTCATGAATGGCTCGGTGCCGTCCCCATGGTAATGAGTGATTTCTCACTCTATTAGTTCATGCCAGAACTGGTTGATTAAAAGAGCTTGACACCCCTACCCACTCTCTCTCTCCTTTCCTCTCACCATGTGATTCTTACTTCCTTTCTCTGTCCACCATGAGTGGAAGCTCCCTGAAGTCCTCACCAGAAAGAAGTAGATGCTAGCATCGTGTTTCTTATACAGACTGCAGAACCTTCAGAATTTTTCTCATCTATTGCCCTCCATGGTCACATTTGAAAAGCAAGACTGGTCCTATGTCTCTTAACCAGCCCACTCGTACTGTGGAGAACTGCAGTTTCCTGATGATACAACTCTACTAAGAAACTGTGAAAATAAGTAATTCAAAATCTCAGCTGTTGGAACTCTAAAGTATTTTGATCCTTAAAGGAATGGTTGATTATGAGGCCTGAGTCACATGACAGGCAGCTGTAACCTTTGTTCCTCTGATTATAGATTGGCCTTCCTCCTTACCTGCATTGTTTTGTAAAACATTGTAAATGACTGAAGGGTGCCTTCCTTCTCCATTGTTGATCCTTGATCTTCATTATAGAGTAACCTCCCTCTTACCTTTGTCACACAAAGACTTCATGGCTTAAGATGAAATATTAAATACACTCTTTTAAATTGGAAAGGAAATGAAAACCAACTATAGAGAAAACAGCCATAAGGAAAAGAAAACAAATTGTCACTAATTTGTTGTAACTCTTAAATCAGCCTTGTATAGAAAATGTTGTAACCCTATTAAATTTCTTTGTCGGCTTCCTGTAAGCAAGAACTTAACTCTTAACTTTGGAGCACTGATCCCATTTCTCTGGAATTTGTGTGTCCCTGAATGGCCATTCTCAGTGTTTCGCTTGAGTAAATTCTTTAAAACTGGATTCTGACCCTTTTGATTATTTCAGGTTGAAATATCACAATAGTCTTCCCATCTATTTGTATTCAACCAACTGCATGAGCTAGTAAGCAAAGCCCAGGAGGTTATTGTTCTTGCCCCTTGCTTAAATCTAGAATTCAGACTGGGTGTTAATGACTTGTAGCTATAGGCCTCAGGGCTGTGCTCCACTTTCTATCTTAGCCTCCATCTTGGCCTTTGTCTCAGGGCAATATAAAACACAATCCCAGAGAGAGGACACATTGCCAATCTGTCCCTTCCCCACGGAAGTCTCAAGGAATTGTTTAACTATGACCTTTGCCTGGCCAGGAACATATAAATTTAAGTGCATAAGAGGGAATAGTAATGAGGCTTTTCTCCTAGGTCCCAATGTCTTCTCTTTCCTACTTTGTTTCCAGCCTTCATCCCTTAACTCCCCAAAATTAGCTTGGGCAAAGGATTAGTCTTTTCAAAATTTAAGACACAGAATCATCTGATTTAACAGTCTTGGATTGCTGGCCCCAGGCAGAAAGGGCCTCTCTTGGCCAAGCTGAATGTTCTTCATTCTCTACTTTTTCAGATGGGCCACCTGTGACCAAAGTTTATCTGTTTCTTGCAAGACCTCACTAAAAAGCTGCAAGAAAGTAGCCAGCCACATGCCAATATGATAATTTAGGTATCTTTGGTCTAAGACCAGATTCTCATCCATATTTTGATTGCTATACTTACCATCTTATTCAACCAGTGTTTCTGAGCCATGGGGTGTGGAGGGGGGTGGTGTTGATTGGCATTGATTGATCAAACTTCCTTTCTCCCCAAAGTTAGGCACTGCCTGTTTTATAATTGTTTCTTTCTCATCTGTCCCTATTAGACTATGGTCCTTTGAGGGTGAGGGTTCCATTTTTAGTTACAAGTAATGCCTTTGCCTCGCCTAAGCCAGGGCTAGAGGCATGCCCTTCCCCCATACAGTGTGCTTTTATTCATCTTTTTGCCCCCAATGCATAGAATATATTCTGACAATAAGTGTTCCATAAATGTTTGTGAAGAAATATATGAGTGTTGGAGCAACTAATGTCTGGATGACTTCTTATTTTCCCAGGCTTCTCTCACCAGTTGCTAAGATGTTTCAGTGGTCAAAGAAGATTCACCATGCCTATATTTTGGCCCCCATGTTGTCTGTTCCAGCAGCCTATTGTATGCTGTTCCTCTTAGGAATTTCCAAACAAAAGCCTAATATATTCCCAGTCTTCCCTCTATCTGAGAAGGCATCATCGGGCAACCTGCTTGGCCCACAATTGGCACACATTTATAGGTACGCACAGCAGACTTCCCTTCATCTCACAGATATTGAGACATAACAACTGAAATCACACTGAACATAACCTACAAAAGTTTATCTTAAAAGCTGCTTTAGGGGGTAAAAATAATTAAGTATTTCAATCTCAACATTTAGAACCTTCTGATGTTTCAATGTTTGACGAATAAAAGTTCCTTTGATTTGGAAGGCCCTGTCCATTGCCTGGGAGATCGCAGAAAGAAAAGGAAAACAAAATAAAGACCGGAACTTCCTGCGCTATGGTGGACACGCTGGGAAAGCAGAGCCAGAAACTCCCCATCGGCTTCCCCACCGCCCCCCGGCCGCAGTCTCCTTTAAGGGAGAGTGGGCGGAGTCCTGCCTTTAACTCTGCCCACGGCTATCGGACCTGCGGCCGAGGAGAGGGGAGGTTTGGGGCGGAGCCGCCTGCGTACGGCGTGACGCTATCACGCTGCGACCGGCACTCTGCGGGTCACGTGGCTGCGCAGCGGAGGCGCAGGTGAGTTTGGGCTGCGGGCTGCGGCTTTCCCAGGTGGATTTTGGTGGGGGGTGGGGGGGCTCTAGGTGCCCTCGCGTGGGAGCTCTGGGAGCGCGACTAGTCCCCTGACCTTGGGGTTGGCCTGGGCGGGAGGCGATTCACCTCTACCTGCCCCGGGCCCGGCGGGATAGACTCAGTATTAACTGATCTCTAAAGCAACCCCAAATCAAGGTCTCCGGCTCTGGGAAGGACACCCCGGCAGCTCCGCCAAGGGCTTGCGTGCCATGCATGAGTACACGGGCAGTGAGCCTTTGGCGAGAGGCTGCCCACTGAGATGGAGAGAGATAAGAGATACCAGGGATGACCAGCTTTATTCGTGATACTGAGCGCTTTGTGGATTAAATCTTCAGAACACTCCTGTGCGAATAGGTCCTGTTGTTATTCCCATTTTGCAGAGGGAAAAACTGAGGCTTGGAAAGGTTACAGTTACTACTTTGTAAACGCTATAAAGATGAGAGGTTGAGTATTGGGAAACGTGTAAGCATCTCTAAAATGGTGATTCCAGAAAGCTAACAAAAGCTGTTTCTGAATTTGATCAGTTCTTGTGACAAAATTCATTTGGCAAGTCATAACCACCAGAATATTAAACTTTGAAAACTTTGCTTTTCAGGCGATCAAAGCTACATAATGTCCGTAGCTCGTTCATCCGTCCATGCCAAATGGATTGTGGGGAAGGTGATTGGGACAGCAATGCAAAAAACTGCTAAAGTGAGAGTGACCAGGCTTGTTCTGGATCGCTATTTACTGAAGGTGAGGAACACTCCTATTTTCAGGTGGCTTTGGCAAGTCACCAACATGTTCTGAGTCCTCAGCGGAAAAACATTTCCCTATCAATAATGATGTGTTGAGTATCTGCTTTAAGCCAGACACTGTGCTGCTCCATGGGTATAACATGGTTTATACATGGACTGAGAATTCCAAGAAAATAGAGTTAATTTCAATTTAATCTGCTAGTTGCTGTAATCATTCTATATGCAAAGTACTTTGGAAGCAGAGAACAGGACACCTCATTCTTTCCTCCCAGGTTACTGTAGGAGAGCATCCTCAATTAAAAGACATTTGAGCTGAATCTCAAGTAAGATTTTATCTGGAGGACCAGGTTGGGGGAAGCCATTCCAGCCATGATGAGTAGTTTGTGGAAGTTCGTTTAGTCTTGATAGGGCATGACATTCTACAGGAACAGCAAGTGGTTTGGGAAGGTTGAACCCAGAGCTTGGCCCTTAGTAGGCAGTGTTGTTGAATGAATGACAAGGGTAACCGGAGCTGGACTGTGAAGGGACTTCTGTGTTTTGAATTTCATCCTTTAAGCGAAGGAAAGACAAAGTTGGAAATAGGGATAGAGATGAGGACTGAAGGTAAAGGAATGGGTAAGGAGGCTATTGCAAAAGTCTAGGGTAGACTGAACTTGGTCCACTTGGTGAGTGGAAATGGAGTGGAAAAAAGATTTCAGGAATAAGGGACAGAGTCATTGATTTTTTAAATGTGCAAGGGGGAACAGGTGTCAAGGATGATTTCTGCATTCAAGGTTGGGCACACAGGTAGATAGAAATGCTGTTCATTATCTAGATCAAAACCACAGGAGCAAGCCAGAAAAAGTGATGGCATGATCTTTGGCCTTATAAGACCTTGGTTTGAATACTGACTCTGTTGTTTACCAGCTGTGCGCATTATTTAACCTCCCTGAACCTGTTTTTCTCATCTGTAAAATGGAAATTCTTGTCCCAGAAGAGTTGTTATAAAGAATAGATGACTTTAGTTATCATTTGTGGCTTACTTGCAATACTTTGAGCCAGGCAGAGCTAAGTGTTTTTGTGTATGTGTATATTTTAATGTTTTAATCTCTTGATAACTTGAGAGGTACAGGTATAAGAGCCTCATTTTATGGTGGGAAAAAACTAAACTTGGAGTGGTTAAGTGACTGACACATCCAGTGGTGTGAGTAGCATATTTATTGGCTGGAGAGAAGGCTCCAGTGGGAAGGAACAGTTTAAATAGTGTAGGGAGAGATGGTAATGGATAGGGCAAGGGTACTGAAGGGAATGAGATGGAGAGCTTGGAGACAAGGTCAATGCTGGAAAAGTCATTGCTGTTTTCCAAAAATTAAGCAGCTACTTTTTTTACTGGAAGCTTCCTCAAGTATGTTAATTTCTTTTCCCAAGTCCTGGCTTGTTTTCTGTGCATTACTTTTTCATATTCTATACTGCATTGCCAGATCGCAGAGGAGTGGCTTGTTTATTCATCAGAACTACTGATTTGTTCCTCTCCATCTCTCAACAGTATTTTAATAAGCGAAAAACCTACTTTGCTCATGATGCTCTTCAGCAGTGCACGGTTGGGGATATTGTGCTTCTCAAAGCTTTACCTGTACCACGAACAAAGCATGTGAAACATGAACTGGCTGAGATCGTTTTCAAAGTTGGAAGAGTCATAGATCCAGTGACAGGAAAACCCTGTGCAGGAACTACCTACCTGGAGAGTCCAGTCAGTTTGGAAACAACCCACCTAACCAAAAATCTGGAAGAACTTGATATCTCTTCGTCACAGTGATGGAAGATTAGAAGAAGAAGCCAAAGGGAAAAATGTACACATTTGCTTTATGGAAAAAGAAATTTTTCTAAGTTTCATCACAAACTGTCTGGTTTCTCTTGTAGTATTTGTGAAATGGTTAAAAGTAAATGAAGCAAAGGGCTTGTTTTAATTTTTCATAAAGGTTTATGGCCATGTTTCAAATTTTCTTTTCAGTGGACATACTTTCACGTTGCACTAAGTGTGCCTAGCATTCTGCTGCATTATTTTGTAAGCTCACTGTTTTACAAGGTATATTGATTTTCTTTTTTTCATTCAAAGAAATTATCTTAGAACCTTTATTTTGGGGGAAAAAAGCCTTTTGATATGAACAGATAAGGCCACACTAAGTGAATATTTTTGATAGTATATATTCAAAATAAATTTAAATATTTTGTTTGATTTCACCAATTCCAAAAGCAAATAATCTACATGCTTGTGGCCAGACTTTCTTCAGATTAAGGCATAGAAAGTAAAAATTTTAAAATTGTGTCGTTTTCTTCTAGGCTAGATTAAATAGGAATGAGTTCCTAAAATCTAACACATTGAATAAGGTGTAGGACCTTGCACACGTGCATTTGAGTTGGAGAGTGAGTTTTGTTGCTATTCATTAATAAACTGATAACTTAGATTTTCACTTGAGGAAACATTAAGCTATATGTTTCAGTTTTCTGTCTCCTAGAAAGAGACTTGGGGCATATTTCAACGTCAGTTAATATGTGTATTGTATAAACACAGGGTTTCGACAATGATCACAGGCATTGTCCACCTTCTCAGGGCTCATAATCTAATGGAGGAGGTGGATGTGGGTGCCTTCATTGCTAACAGAACCACGTGGGTTGGAAAATTAGGGTAACCTCCCAGGAGAGATGAGACAGTGCTAGAACTGAATGTTAAAGAGTCTCCAAGACCAGTAGATGAGGGGTGTTGAAGGGGCGTTCCAGACAGGGAAGGGAGTGTAAAGTCCTCAAATGGTGAAAGAAAGCATAACTGGTGATTCTGGAAGCAAGTGAGGATTGCTGGCATGTTTTGAACAAGGATGGAACTCAGAAATAGGTAGGAGTTAACTCTGTATGCAATGATGGATTGAAGTTTTAAAGAGGGTGATAAAATTGGGATACTACCATTCAAAAACCAGTCCTAAGACCTAAACCAAGTTTCACAGGCAAGATGAGATATTGGATAACTGATGTTCCAAAGAAGGACTTTCAGCTTGGTGCCAGGGTAGGTGAGTGGAAGGAAAGTGCCTTTCAGTGTCTAGGTCTCTGGCAGGTGGGGCTCTCTGGTTAGCCTGGAAGGGTTCATGCAGACGTCTCCAAGTGGTTCTCAGAAAATGATGACACCTGTGCCATCAGCTCGGCCAGAGTCCAAGCCATCTCTCAGATATTTCGAAGGGTTCCTGTACTCTGTAATGGTATCATTTTTATTTAAAGAAATTTTTTTCCTAAAAATCTTGGTGTAAAATGATGCTCCAGGAAGACTTGCTGTGTTTATTCCATGGCTTTGAGTACCCTAAGCCACACACCTGTGAGAGAGGAGCGCCTCCTTTCCCCCAATAAAAAGCACTGGATTAACGGAACTCCAGAGCAAAATGACAGCAGAAGAAAACAATGCAAAATAAGTGGCCTAATGCTAGATAACAAAAGTAAGGTCAGCAAAGAAATGTCTAGCTACAAAGTTTACATTTCGGGAGGACAGATTTGAGAAATTGGGGAAATGTGTGAGAAAGTCACAGGGGCTCATCCACACTTGAAGAGGCCCTTTCTGTCTCTTGCTCTGTAGGACTAGGACAGCCCATAATGTCCTGGGGAGAGCTCACTCCTGCCTCCCTCTTGGGTCTACATGCCTTACTAAGCATGTGCTAGTTGAGGTCAGGAACTCCCTCAACCACACAGCCTCTGGCCTCCAAGGGGCAGGTCCCTCTCCCTAGTCTGGGGCGAATCCTTGTAGCCGTCCCTCTATCCAGCGGGCCCAACACTGTCATCCCTGGTGGTCCCTTGCCATATTAACATGTTCCAATTCTTCCCCACTCAGAAAACTCCTGCACCCTTTGGGCTCCAAGATTACCAATTTTAAGAGTCCTCAGTCCGCAAAACGAGTCTCTTCCCCCATCCCTCTTAAGCAGAAACCTTCAAGCTCTACGCTGGCCTCCTTGAGATGCTCCCCTTGGCTGCTGGAGCCTGTACTCCTCCCCGGTTCTCCCCCTTCTCTCAATGTCTAGCTCCCTTTCTGTTCACCTTGTCTTGGTTACAATTTTCATAGTTACATCTTGTGGCTCTTTTATCTTTCTGCAGGATACATTTTTCCCTATACAATGCCACCTGGACTCACGCCTTTGCTTAAGTTGTTTCTTCCGCCGGGGACGTCTTCCCTTCTTCCACTGGTCCAGCTCTTCTTCCCTTGGGACTGAGCTGTCCTGCCAGCTTCTTGGGGAACTTTTTCCTGGTCTGTCCTCCACTTCGCAGCCACTCCCATTGCAGGTGTCCTGCGTTGCCTGGGCGTCTTGTGAACCTCTCCATTTCAACACTTGACACACTTGATTCAATCATCATTTCACATTGTGTCCCCACTAGACTGGGACGGCTTGAGGAAAGGTGGGAACAATGTGGTCCCGAGACCACAAGAGAATTTGAGTATGTTTCCATTCAGCATGCTTTTATTGAAGTGTTAAAGTTTTTTGAAATGACAATATATTCACGTGGTACAAAATTCAAAAGGTATTCGAGAGAAGCCCCCCTCCTACCGCCCCGCCCCCAGGCAGGCTCTGGATGCCCCTCGGAACAGTGCTACTCTTCCTGTGGAGCTTTCTATGTACATTCAAGCCATGCCCATGTTCCTCTGCACACCCTGTTCCGGGCACCGAGCTCCTTTCACTGGACATGATCGTCTCGCGACCGACTCTGCTCCGGCTTCGCGCTCCCTCCTTCCAGCAGCCCGGCCTGAGTCACCCCGCAGGCCCCGCGGCCGCGCCATGCTCCCCCTGGCGGCGGCGCTCCGCACTGCAGCGGCTGCACTCCCGCCCCGCCCTAGACTCGTCGGGGCCCGGCCGGGGGAGGGGTCGCGGCGGCGGCGTCAGCGGCGGCGCCCGGGTGGTGGGAACCGAGGCGCCGGAGCAAGATGGCGGCGCGAGTGCTGCGCGCCCACGGAGCGGCCTGGGCCGGCGGCCTCCTGCAGCGGGCCGCTCCCTGTACCCTGCTGCCCGGGCTCCGGTGAGCAGCGCCGCCCTTTCCAGGAGCGGCCGGGGAGGGGCCGCCGCGGGGCGGAGGGCGCGGGGTCCCCAACGCGTGTCTCCGCCCCGGCCCAGCCGCGCTCCCACGACGCAGAGCTGCGAGCTGGCGCGGGCCGAGGCTGCGGGCGGCGGGTCCGGGGCGGGCCGGAGCCTCGGTGGGGTCGAAGTCCCCTTCCGGCCCGCCGGGCTCAAGGTCACTGCGGGGATGGGCTGGAGCGCGGCCCCGCCTTTTCCGAGGAAGGCTCCCGCTGCCCGGCGCGGAGGCCACGTCCGCCCGCTGCGCTGGCCTGGCCTGCGGGACCTTGACCGGCGCGACCTGGGGCCAGGGCCGTGGCTGAGCGCGCGCCAGAGGCTGTAGGCCCTGGACACGGCCTGCTGGGTTCCCGCCGGCCGTGCAGAGAAAGCTGCGCGCCTTTTCAAAGCCTCTATATCTGCGTCTGCAAAGGACAGTAGTACTACTTGTCTGTTAGGTGGCTGTGAGAAAGAAAGAAAATAACGCATCGTCCCTGTGAGCCCTCAATGAAAGGTGATGGGGAGTAGTGAGGAGGTCAAAGCACTCAAGTCTTTGACTTGAATTTTAAAGCAGGTAGTGGATCAAAAAGTATTTATAATTGTCATCACTGAGTATTTAGGCGTCGGGTTCATGTTTAAACTTTTCTTTTTCTAACCTCAGTGGATTAGATGTTTCGTTGTCTGAATCCGTCACCTTGACATTTCCACGTACCATTTTCCGCATTCAGAAACCAAAGCCCATCCTAACTTCCCCATAGATTTGCTTTCTCATTTTCATTACTTTGGGTAATTTAAATTATCCAAAAGAACAAAGGAACTATCTGTTCATTAAAATCTTACTATGGGCTAGGAAGCTTTATATAATATTGTTTATTTAATTTAATCTTAGTAGCAATTTTAAGAAGTAAGTAGCATCAGCATCCTAAAGAGATGAGGAGATGGAACCTCAGAGACACACATAGCTAGAAAAAGCATTTGAACCCAAGTTTGTCAGGCTTCAGGCCCAGTGTCCTTCCAGAACTGATGCCCAGCTTACATGTCGAAATTATTTAAATTTGATGTTTGTTTCCAACTTGATTAACAAATCAACTTCCTTTTATGTTTTATTATTGAGCATCTAGTTGTATCTTATTTTTTATAAGCCCATGAAATTTGTATTTTCTTCTTTCTAAAAGAAAGCTGAAACTGAAAGTGTTCACTCAACATACTTGCCTAATGTGCCCAAGGACATAAAGATAGTAAACTTGAGAGTTGGACCTGAGTCTCCCCAGTATCCTCACTTCCCACTGGGGCCAAATGTTGTTCACCTTGGAGTTCTCATCTCTGTCTGACCTGTTGGTTCTTTGATTACTCTTTGAGGTCCCCTTGCACATTTTGACTGCTCCTTCCTGGTCTCTGGTCTGTCTTAACTGTAGGTGTTCTCTAGGACTCAACCTAGACCCAGTTAATTCACTAATTCTATAAAATATTGAGCGTATCCAATGTACTTGAAGTCCTTTGGAACGGAGCATAATAGCCATGGTCACTATCCCCAGGGAGCCATGGCAGAGGTAAAAATACATAGACTTACAGACTGAGGTAGGTGCTGTGAGAGAAAAATCAGGGAACTACCACGTGAGCCCATGGAAGGTTTCTCTAAAAAGTATTAGGCTGAGATCTGAAGGGTCAAATATCTGAGAAAGCCTTGAGTGGGAAAAAGTCGGGTATACGGGAAAATCCAAGAAAGGTCTAGGAGGCTGGAGTACAGGAGTGAAGGGAAGACTGGCTAGAGGAGAATTAGCAAGGAACAGGGGCCAAATAAGTCCAGGCCTTGCAGGCCATCTTAGAGAACTTGGATTTTATTCTGAGAGCCATGGAAGACATTTAAAGGTATAACATGGATTTTATTCTGAGAGCCATGGAAAGACAT